CCAAATGGAATTGGCAAGCCGCAATTCAGCAAGGATGGCTTTTTGCAGGGGAGAATAAGCAAACCCCCCGAGCAAAAAGCAGCCGCGAACGACGCCACGCTTATTCCTATTTTATTTTACGCAATGGAAGTTACAGCTCTGACACGGAAGGCCGCACAAATTACAAAGCTCATGTGGACCTGTTCAGCGTTGAAAAATGGGAGCCTAACAAAAAAATCCCCAAGCCACTGACGACCTACACCCTCTTATAGCATAAAAAAAAACTTTTTTTCTGTCTCTGTAGTAAGCCTTGAATTTAACAAAAGCAGTAACGTACGTTATGCGAGGGCGCTATCGACCTCCTAGCTTTAGCGCGAACCTGCGCACATTTTTTCTCACAGGCCTGCGGAAAGTGGTAACTATTGATCCCGTAAAACAAACGCGGGCGGTATAAAATAGGGGAATTTTGTATCGACAACGAAATGCTTCCACTTCAAAACGGCCAACTGACCTTCAGACCGGTTTGAGCCACTACAAAGCGAGGGCCCAAGACTACCCAGCAATAAGGGTTAAAGGTAAAAACTTTCTTCAAGCCCAACGGCGCCAATGCAATAGCCACGGGTTCGGGGGATCTTTAAAATACAGTCGCGGCGGCCACGCATGGCAGCAAAGAACAGTTTCATCGGAAGGGGGCGCCCAAAAGACACGCGCAGCCCTAAAGAACACGGAAAACTTTTGTTTTTTTTTCCTTGTGTTTTCACGACTTTTGTCGATGGCTCCGCTCCACCAGCCACCATCGTAGAGCACGTTCATTGCTGTTAAATTTTCCATGTGGAAGGAGCTCCCATTGTTTTGTTGTGCGTTTTATTGCTTTTGGTATTTTGTTGTCTGTTCCGCTGCGCCGGTCGAGTAAAGAACACACACGGAAGGAAACGGCGGCTGATACCTTTCAGTGGGCCCTGGAAAGGCTGCTTGCCCCATTGGTCGGGGCACCCCCCCACCCCCCAGGGGGAAGGCACGCGATAGCAGCTAAGGAAGGCAAACATTTAGAGGGGAGGACGAAGCTTAGAGGGAAGAGGGGGCCACTTCTGGTTCTATATGGCTGGCGGCGGTTCTGTCGGGGAAGGCCGTTGGGGACAAAACCTTTCCATTGCAAGCAGGTATTTAGCCAACTTCTGCATGAAGCACAACTTCTCCATGCCGCCCCCATCAACCCCAAAGTGACAACACAGACTCTTTAATGCGGGACAGCTCAATAGGTGCATGCTCGTCTCTTCGCACTGTCCACGTTGGCCTGGTTTCACGGTGTCCGGCCTGAACCCATGGCTGGCCATACGGTGCCTTGTAAGTCCGCGTTTGCTGTGGCACTGGAATCCGCACGTGGGGCACGAGAAGGCAGAAAGAGGCAAGTCGTCAGGAGCATCCTCCTGGGGCCTCCGGCGTTTCACCGTTACAGGAACCCCGCGGCCCTCATAATATCTTCTGCAGAGCTTTCAAGCTGATTCAATAGAAGCAAACCATTTCAAACGCACCAAGCATTGTGTTTCCTTCCGCCGCTCGGGCGGTAGGGGGCGGCCCCCTCGTTCTTTAGCGGCCCGCCGGTCGGGGAAGAAGCCTCTGTTCTCATACGCTTTTTAGGATGGGGCAATTCTGCTTCAGCTTTTTCCTGCTTTATGGGGGCGGCGCGCAAGGTAGGGGAGTCCTCTCTCTCTCTCTCGCTTGGGGGGGGTTTGGTGTGTCTGTGTTTGGGTCTTGTGCTCTAGTATTCTGTTCGCCGGGGTGCTTGTATTTCATGTGGCCTGCCAGTCCTCCAGCGTTGCCCACGGTTCTGCGACATATTGGACAAAATAGTGTGGGTCATGGTGTCGCTGCTCGTGGCGGTTCTTCTGGGGAGTGATGCTTGGCACGAATGTGGGATAGGAGCCCCGTCATACTTAGGGATCCGAACCCACAGTGATCGCAGTAAAAGGGAAGGTTTTGGCTTTTTCTTCCATTCCCCGCCCTCGTTTACGTTCTGCGTTTTGGTATTGCTGGGGGTGGAATTAGCGACGGTGCCTTGTTAGCCCCACCTGTCCTTTAAACGACGCCGCGCATAAGTTGCAAGCAAACTCTTCTCGACGCTTCTTGGCGATCGGGTTGGGGTCGCTTGCTGTGTCCGGTGCTGGGCGCTTGGGCCTTGGTGCTAGGGGGGGGGGTTCTGGCGTGATGCCCGGCGGTTCCGCAGCCGTTGGATGTTTGGCTTTCCAGATTGCGCGTGCGTGGGTGAATCCATGTTTGTTGACCATGTGAACCACAACGCTTGACCGACAGCCATAGCGGGTTTGCCACTCCGGGCAGTTGACCGGATCACAGAAACGTAAAGGCGCTGCCTCGGCGTTTGCTGCAGGCGATTCTATTCGAGGCTTTTTGAGTGGGGGAGGGGGCTCTATGGGGTTGCACCACCTGCATGTATTTGGCGTGGTGGGCTGTAAAACGCGGAGTAAGAAGCCGTAGCGGTGGGATACACCTGTGCGAAAACGAGCTAGGGCCGCCTCTTCTTCCCGAGTTAAGCTGGGGTCATTGCGTCTCGGGTTCCAATGGCCGGTGATGCTGGAGCGGTGGGTGGATGGTTTGGGCAGCTGGCTGCGGATGTGACGTTTCGCCAGCGCAACTCCTTGGTGATGCCGGCCACCTCATCGTGGTACCAAGGTCCAGTACCCCGTATTGTCGGGGGAAGCCAAGCGCCAGCAACGTTCGCCACNGGTAGGTCAGAGGCCGTCTCGGCTTCCTTATCGCATGCCTCGTTCTTTGCAATGCCACAGTGGCCAAATATAAATTGTAGTCGTATGCGCGCCTTGCAGTGTTGAAGGTCCAATAACACGTTCCATAGTATTCGTAATATGGGGTCTGTTACGGTTATTGGGCCCGTTTGGAGTGCCATGAGGAGTGACAGGGAGTCCGTGAAGACAGAGACTCTGCACGGTCGTGTGTTGCGGCGGGGAATGATGTCCAGCAATTTCTGCAGTCCAACTTGCAATGCGATGGAGTCAGCTCGGTAGCTACACGCAATCGGTCCTGCACCTGACTTTGCTTGGGCAA